GCAGCCTCCGACCACTCTGACGCTGGGGAACTGCTCTCTCAGCTCCCCTTCCGAATCCCAGCCTGCGGAAGCACAGCCTGTCTGTCTAGATAGGGAAACTGAGCCCTGAGAAGTAGAGATGCGTGCAGTGTGGGTACTGGCAAGGCTGGAACTAGAACGCTGCCCCAGACTTTTATCCCAGGGCTCTTTTAGCCACACCGGTTTCTTCTACCCCCATCCCAACCCCAAGCGGAGGCTGCACACCCACCCCAGAAGGGAAGGTGCCCTGATGGTAAGGATGCGGTCAGGCACTTCCCTTTCCCGGTCTCAATCCCCCCGACAGTGAAGAGATCGTGGGTCATGTCATCTGGACTGAAAAAGAGTCTCTTTGGTTAGATTGGCGCTTGGGGGGCTCCCTACCTTCCCATCCAGGGTCCTTCCTGAACTCTTGACCCTGGGGGAGGGGAAAGCAGGAGCAGTTGGGAAGGTGGCTGCTGTTTGGCTCCTGAGCCTGTGAACCTCCTGCCCCCAGGCAGGCCTCTCTGATCCACCCTCTTCAAAGGCAGGGGAGGGGGCAGGACAAAGGCCCAGCTTTAATGAGGGGCGGCCTGACCTCCTTTATAGGTCCCCCCTTTGTCATGTAACAGGCTGCGCCTTGGCTCGGTAGTGACTCCTGTTGGCCGGAAAGTGAACACGATACCCCATTGTCCTGACTGTGTCGGGCCTGTCCTGACAAAGGCCACCTGGCCTGGTGGGCGGGAAGTTGGCCTGCCCACCCTTTGATGTCCAGCCCCTCCTCCCCTTCCCCCAGCTGGGAGGGAGCCTGGGACTTCCCCACCTCCTCTCTCTCTTCACCCCCAAGTCTCCACACATGCCCGGCTCACCCAGGGGGCAGATGCTGGGGAAGGCTTGATCGGTAGCTTCAGGTCTGGCTGCAATCAGACCACCTTCTTGGGAGGCTCAGGGACACATAACCTCCTAGCTGCCTCCAGAGGCCTCAGAGGACTGGGACTGAAGGCCCAGCTTTGCCCCTGTCTCAGTGACCTTGGCTAACATTTATAGAACACGTACTGATGGACCAGGCACTGACCCAAGGTCTTGCATGTGTTAACTCATTTAATTCTTACACTATAGTAGGTACTGTTATCACCCCGGTGTTAAGATGAAGAAAGGATGGCATAGAGAGGTTAAATACTTGCACAAAGTGGTACAACCAGCAAATGGTGAGCCTGGGGCTTGAAACCTGGCAGACTGACCACCAAGCCTCTGGGCTAATTCTCTAAACAGCTTCTCTTAAGTCAGTCATCTTTTTCTGAGTCTCAGTTTTACCATTGACAGGAAAGGGAAGGGTCTCGTATCTTTGTTTGAGTTACAAAAGGACCTCTTTGAAAAATTAATGGAAAGTACAAATCTCTAGAAAAGAGTGTTGTCTAATTTGGTAGACAGTTTCAGGAGTTCTAGGGGCCCCAGAAGCTTTATCCATAAACCCCCGTTGAGATCCTTGCATTAGATTATATGAGAGAGGGTTGTGGGGCCACACCCTCAGGGTCCTGCAGTTCTGTGTGTGTTCCCTGGAGAAGGAAGCCCGCATTTCCTGCTCCACTATTCCAGTTGTTGCTTCCTGCTGATTGGGTGGCTTTGGAGATGGATGGGGAGGTTCCGAGGGGGCGGGACTTGCAGGGTTGTGCCCTCACTGTGTGAAGCGGAGAGAGTGGGCCAGTGGGGGTCAGAGGCCTGGGGGAGCTTGCAGGCCGTGTGATGTCAGTCAGGTAAATCACCTCTTCTCTCAGCACAGGAGCTGAGAGCCCAACTCAGCCTCTGGTCTCAAAAGTCATTTGGACACAGTTGTTCCCAGGCGGAAGGGGGCCTAGGAGTAACTCTGCCTAAAGGCAAAGGACCGTTCTCCCTTTGCTCCCAGACAGTAGAAGGAAGGGCTAAGGGAGGCATGGGGGCTCCCGAGGAAAGTAGCTGCCCCGAGGAGTGAGGTAGGACCCATTCTGCCAAGGAGGCAAGAGCCTTGGCCTTCTGAAAACTGGACACTCTGCCCGTCGGCCCAGGGGGCATCTGGCTCTTGACCAGTGCTCCCGAGATTCAGGCAGAATTGGGGTGGGGTTACAGACCCTCCCTGAGAAAGAGGCCAAGTCCCTCCCCTATTTGGCCTCAGTTTTTCCTTCTGGGCAAGGAAGATACAGGCTCTCTCAGGGGTGTTTGCTGTGTCCATGCTGTTGTCTCAGATGGCAAAGGAAAGTTCATGCATGCTGCCCCCCCCCGCCCCCGCCCCCCCTCCCCCCCCCCCCCCCCCCGCTGGATTTCCTGCAAATGTGGCTCCCTGTCACCATGTCTCCTGGTCCATTTTGGCCAGCCCATTTTCCCTCCCTTGTGAGGCTCTAGCATTCTACAATATCTGAACTGGACATTTAGAGACCAGACCTACAGATGGAGAACTGAAGCCCAGAGTCTGGAAGGAATGTTCTAGTTTCACACAAGTGGAAGTTGGACTAGAATAGATGCTGGATGAGTCAGTTAAAAATTTTCCAAAGGTTTTCCATCATTTTTAGGGCAAAATCTTCACTCCTTCCTGAGAGCTCTGAGACTGTAGAGCATCAGCACCTGGTCCCTTCCTGCCATCTTGACCTCAACCTAGGCCACTCTCCCTTCGGCCACCAAACTAGCCTCTCCAGCCTTCCTTTAGCTTTTCAGGCATGCCATGTCCTACTGCAGGTCTTGTGCATGTGTTGTTCTTTCTTTCCAGAAACCTCTTTTCCTTGACTTTTGGCAGGCCTATCTCCTTCTCACCCTTCCGGTCTCAGCTTAATGGTCACCTCCTCAGAGATGCCCTCCATGATTTCTCAAGAAAGACTCCTCCTATACCAGTGATGGCGAATCTTTTGAGCTCGGCATGTCAGCATTTTGAAAAACCCTAACTTAACTCTGGTGCCGTGTCACATATAGAAATTTTTTTATATTTACAACCATAGTAAAACAAAGATTTATATTTTTGATATTTATTTTATATATTTAAATGCCATTTAACAAAGAAAAATCAACCAAAAAAATGAGTTCGCGTGTCACCTCTGACACGCGTGTCATAGGTTCGTCATTACTGTCCTGTATCCACCAATAATTTTTACCATGTTTCCTTTAGAGCACTAACCCCGACTGCAATGTATTCACTTATTGGTGTGTTTGTGTGTGGTCTGTTCCCCTACCCACCCACCAAGGTAAACACCTATGAGGTCTAGAGCCATGTCTATTTGGCCTGTCACTACATTCCAGACACACAGCTCTGTGTATGGCATTTAGCAGGTGCTCAATACATTTTGTTGAATGAATGAACAGGGCAAGTGTGAAATCTTGGCTTTGACATAGATTTCTGAGTTCCCGACCCTGGAGATGGGACCTATGACTGTCCAGGCAAGCAGTTCATGCCAATGGTTGCTCTTCTCTCCCTGCTGGGACAGTGAGGTGCCATCCTCACCTGGGAATTGGCATGGCTAAGGCTGGGACTAAGTCCTGGCCTTATTCTAAGGAGGTGCCAGTGAAAATGGGGAAGCTAAGGGAGAGGCTGTTGGCCTTCATTCCACAATCAAAATATTAAACAGTTCCAAGTGACTATTGTCACTTGATTGAGGCCAGGGTAGGAAGTGACTACAAGGGGTTCTATTTGTTTGCCTTCCCCCTTTGCATCTATAAATACCAGCGTTTTCATCAAGAGGGTCCTAATTCAGCCTTCTGTCAAATAAACGGCTTCACGGGTTAATGACCCGTGAGGGTGGCTGAGGTCCCACACAACCAGGGAGATGTTCACTCAGATGCTGAGACGGCTGCAACAGGGTGTAGATCTTGGTCCAACCCCTTCAGCTTTCCGATGGAGAAACTGAGGCCCATGGAGGGATGAACCACTCCTTTCCCCACCACGTTCCAGACCCTCCCCCTTGGCCCATTGCCACAGCCACCACACTGGCCTCGAAACTCCAGCCTCTCTGATGCCCCAGCTGCCTTCTACACCGTTGATAGATTTACCTCTTCCAGACACATCCCCTGCTCAAGAGCATTGCATAGCTCCCCACTGCCATGGAATCGCCATTGCATTTTATGCCATTTCGTTGCCGTAAAATCCAGCCCCATTTTTGTGGCATTTGAAGCCCTTTTGAGAACTGGCCCCCAACCCACTATTGGAGCTACTCTCCCACTGGTTTGCCCAGAGAAGAGATGCTTATTTGCAACAGTTAAGATCTGGGCCTGAACTGTGAATGAATTTCTGTTAGAAGCTGTGTGAGCATCAGGAAAGCTAATTTGGATCATTTCTCCGAGCTTCCTATTCTTCCACTGTAACATAAGGATAACAATAGGATTGTGCCTTGAAGCAATGGTACCTAGACCCCCGAGCCTGGCATAGTAGGTGCTCAGTGACCATCGGTACCTCTGACCATGTCTTCTCGCCCTTAGCAGGTGCCTTCAAGCACACACCCTGCCTCCCCAGTCTGGGTCTCTCAACCGGAACTACCCTCCCTTTCCTCTTCTACATTTTCAACCTGTTCAAATGCTGCTCCTTCTCCCAGGTCACCTCCTCTAGTAAGCCCTCCTTGGTTCCTCCCTCCTGGCACTCCCTCAGGCCCTTGTATTAACAACATTTACCACTGGCTGTATTTATCTCTATCAGTTCCGTCCTTCTCACCATCCCTTGCCCATAGTAGGAGCTCATGATAAACCTGATAACTGTGGTTTTGGCTGAGTCCTTACCGTGTGCCAGGCACTGTGCCAAGAACTTTGCCTGAGTGATTCCACCTCAGCCTCATAACAACCCTCAGAGGTGTGAGGTTCTATTATGAGCCTCATTTTAGAGATAAAGTTAATGAGGCTCAGAG